AGACTTTCCTGTCAATTGTAAGTAATTGTGATATATTCTACGCAGTGGATGAATGTTCTTTAAATTTGTGTAAATACTTCTGCAAAGGTACTGAAGCTGTAAAGTCAAAACAGTTTTGTGGAACTGTGATTTTTTTTTTTTCCTTTTTTTTTTTTTCTTTTTTTGTATTATACACCTTGTAGAACTCATTTTGCTGGCTGAAAGAGTATGGAATAATATATCTCATGTCATTTTTGTAGAAGAAAAACTATTTGAAGGTATTTTTTGGTTTTCCCTAACATGTATCCACTGTAAACGTTTGTCATGTGCAAGCTCAGAGCTTGGACAGAATTTTTTGTATTTGTAAATTGGTTTAAATACATGGAATTTTATACAGGTTTTCTCCTGTGTTATATATGCATTATGTGCAGGTATGATATTTTCTTCACTACTTTTTCTATCTTAATATAGTGTGGAATTTTATTGTATTATTCTTCCATTCTTAATACTGTACCACATTCCTGCTCAGAAACTGCTCACTTCCTTAAATTGTCTTTTCTCCCCCAGCGTGAAATGTATCCATTTATAACTGCCTATTGCCTGTTCTATTAGCATCCAAAAATGTGGAAGGCCTCCCAACCACCATTTCTGCTGTGTCCTTAGGATGTGCAGTAAAAAATATAGACCTAACAGTTTATGTTATAGAATGGCTTTATTTACTTTGGTGACTGTTTATAGTTTTTAAATAAAAGACTGAACATTTTCTTGAGTCCTTCATTTCTGAGTATGCTTAAGACATTCTTAAAAAATAGAGAATCTTAAATTCAGCTGAAGGCAGTTGTGGTCCAGTCACCTATTTGATTACATGTTGATTTATAATACATTAGAGAACATTAGAGAACAGTGAAGAAAGGTCTTTTACAGGACAAATTTGCATGAGATAAGAGGGAGATTATTTGTTTTCTCTTTGTTAGAATCCAAAGCAAACCCAGATTATTGTTTGATGCTGTGTTTTTTTTGACTGTTCTTTCAGAATGACAATGAATCCGAATCTTCAACTTGAATTTAGGGGGGCAGATCTTAAAGTAAAAGAGCCTCAGTTTGGATATAAACTTTTTTTAGTATTTTGATTTCAACTTGTATCAAAGGAAAATCTCATTTCTCCCAGAAGGGGACTCTCTGGCATTAAACTCTGCCATCTATTAATGTGTGCTTAAACTTTTTGTCCAAAATTAGTCTCAATTATTTCCCAGGATTGTGGGTTTATTCTTGGCCCACCTCCCAAGACTCGGGCTGCTCAGCAGACACCCCAGAGATAACATGGATAGCACTAAAATGGCCCTCAAACCCCCCAAATTGACAAGGCCCCTGGGTGGCTGACATCAGTTGGAGAATTTTCTATTTATTGTACTTATTAAAAAATCTCTCAAATTTTTCTAAAATAATTGTAACAATGTTTGTTTTAAAAGGTACGTTTATTTTCAAAATAAACTCCAATGGTAATTAATAGAAAAGAAACTCTAGATTTAGAAAAATGATCTTCATGTTCACCCTTCTTCCACTTCATTGGAATCGCATGCTGTAGCTGTAGTTTTTGTGCTCTAATATGTAAATGTCTGTAGTCCCTTCGAGCATTGGTCTCAGCAGAGAATTTGCTAAATGACCTGATGAAACCAGTTATGGCTTCCCACTTAGGTTTTCGTCTTACAGCTTTATAGAATTATATAATGAAATAACGTGGACTTGCTGGGTAATGGAATTAAAGTGCTCTTGCACAAGAAGTTCTGCATAACCCTCTCATTCATGAAAAGGTGCTCCTTGCTAGACAGAAACTTGCTGATTTCCAGTATTGTTATTTTTGTCTGAAGTTCTGTAAATACATGCTTTAATGTTATCTTTGAGAAATCTATGTAAATACTATAGTCTACAACATAGAGACTGTAAATTCTGTGTTATATATGTGCCTAGTGCTCTGTTGGCACTCAATAAATTTTAAGTAACAGAAGTGATACTCATAATAGCCAAGGCATATTTTTCTTCCAGGCTCGAGACAGGATGTGACTATATATTAATGAGACTCGGCAATACAAGCCACACATGAAAACTCGTCTCATTACTTTATAGTCATGCCATGTATGTTTTTTTTAACCATAAAATGACAATAAAATGATTTTTAAAATAACAATGTTTTGGATAAGTGACTTCTTGTCCTGATCTTAATCACTGTGACTAAAGCATTAAACAGCAAAGCAAGCTACGAAGAAGCAGGGGTGCAGCTACAGGATTAACCACTTGGATCATTTTGCCCAAACAGTAATAAAGGAGAGAAGGTAAGGCCAAGGCCAGAAGAAAGTGGGGAGCTCAGCCATCTGACAGGCTTCACTGGACTGACAGCAGGAAGGCAAAATGGGAAGGACCATGTGTGGAGATTAATGTCTTAGAGACTTTAAGGGCCTGTAAAGTGCTAAGGAAGAGAGAGTTTAAAGATTAACTAGTGCTGGGCTTAAACTATTAAGAGATCAAAGCTATAAATGCTTTTCACACAAACAAAACTTAAGGGGGAAAAACTGCTGAATTCTGGGGAGGAGCAAAGTGAATTAGATGTTGCTACGCAGAGAAGGGGTTTGGCCACCAAGGAGGGGACCTAACGGCTCCACAGAGGTGCAGTCTGGAATAAAAGCACATGGGCTGAACCACATTTGGTTGAGAGAGAGTTCCAGGATCCCTGGACTATAGAATACAGCTTCCCTAAACTCATGAGGAAACCTTTTAGCCTTTGCTTCTCAGGATTCATTGACTTGAATTAGATATGTTGTTTACAGCTAGACTGGGAAAAGTAACACTAGCCTGATTTTCAGGTTAACCCTTTAAACAAATTCACGCTTGCAAAGCTGTTGCCTGGGAACAGGCAACTTTCTGAGTTGTGCTTTATAAATGGGCATGGTTTGTTAAAATAGCGAAAACAGAGCTGAAAGCTGCCACCGTCTAATACGGAAAGCAGTGTTGCACACGGGAAGTTCACTCTTGCACATTTCTTGTTATTTCTGGCTCCAAACAGAAGCACACTTTGTGATGCATAATTACTCTTTCAGTGGGGATATTTTTCTCCCTAAATTTCATGGATTTCTTTTCCCCACTGAAATTTGACTGAAAGAGCTAAAGTGATTTTAAAAAGTGAAACTATCAAAAATCTAAGCATTGGCTTTAAATTGCTGGCCTTCAAAAAAATTCTTTTTACTGTGAACTATAACACCACATACAACTAAGCTCTTAAAGAATAAAGCATTATGTAACTACCGCCCAAATCAAGTAGACCTTGGTAGTCCCCCTCCTTCCAAGGGCTCAGTCCTATCTCAGTCACAACCTCCTCCCTCTCCTGCATCAGTGACCACTCTCCTGACTTTAAAGGCAGTCACTCTTTTCATCACACTTGCTCACACCGTCTCCTTAAAATCAGTTGTCCCGTCTCTGCTCCCACTGTACTTATTTCAGCCATTACTCCCACACGTGATGTGGGTTTACATCTGTGAGTTCAACACAACACCTAGTCAAGCACTGACTTTGGGGTCTATCAATTCTAGGTCTGAAACTGGCTCTAAGTATCTGTGTAACTCAGTGACAGTTAATTCTTTATGCATCTCAATCTTCTCATCAGCATAAAAAAATTATTAGTTTGATAGACACAGTAACACAAATGTCTGACAAGGTGCCTATCACAGCACAACTTTAATATGCTATTATTGTACTAATTCTTTAGAAAACTGTGGTATGATTAAACCTGGTAATGTGAAGAATCTAGTAATTCCTGGCACATAATAGGTGTGCACGGTTTAATGAATGTTCATTAAGACCCTGAAAACGAGCAATCTTACATGCTATCACAGTATCAAAGTAGGAACTAAAAGTAAACTAGAAGCTCAGTGAGGGACTATAAATTAGTACACTCTTCTCAGAGAGCAACGTGGCATCATCTATCCAAATTAAAAATGTGTATCCTGAGATGCAAAGTAACCTTGTAACACAAACAGATTCAGAGATAAAGTCAGTGTTCATTAAAACATTGCTTTTAATAAAACTCCAAAACGTAACTTAAGATGTCCATCAACAGAGGAACACAACACAGCCCTTATAAACTAGAATATGGACATCAGAATATATCTTCAATTTATTAAGGGGTATAAAAATACAGAACAGTTTACAGACTATTATGCATGTGCTAGGGGAAAAGATATGTGAAACCTATTTTCCTGGAGCCTTAAAAAGTGTTCTTATAAATGCTTTGGAGAATCTGGGGAAAATAACTTTCTGATGATTCCTTCTGCAGAGAACAAGCAACTTCGGAAAACAATGGATTTTAAACTAAATATAAAGAAATTACACTTTGTGTATACACTTACACCTTAAAATGTTTTACAGGGAAATAAAAACTCTTCTAGGAATCAATCCACAGAAAATCATCTGAAATGGGCATTATCTGTGTATAAGGAGGCTTACATCATTTATATTAGTGTAACAGACCTAATTTCATTATTTAGTAAAAACAACTTAGTACCCAATATTGGAGGACTGGTTCCAGTAATAGTGTATCTGTGTAAGTGATACTATATGGATATTAAGAACCATGCTGCACAATAATTTTTATTAAAATGGAAAATTCTCAATACAAGTGAAAAGGATGTTACAACAGTTATGTGCAATTTGATCAGTGTTAATAGTTGTTACCTTTAAATGGTAAGATTAGGGGCTATTTTTCTTACTTTTCCCCTCTTCTGATTGCTTTTTAATTTAGTAAAAGCATTTCTAATTTCCTACAGTGATTATATAATTACAAAAAATGCTATTATAATACATGCTTATAGCTAACTTCAAGCTTTCTTTACAACCTGGACATTTATGGAACTATGATGCTAGTCCAGCTACTTCAATGCAAATCCAAGAAATACTGCAACCCATCTGAAAAGTTAAAATGAAGTGTAAGTCATCATTTCCCAGGAATCTTAATAAAACATTAAAGACACTACTGTTTATCAAAAGAATTTATTAGAAAATATTACATACTACATATCTGTTTAAAGAGTATTGTTTCAGTAGACAGCACTCCATCCTCATACTACAAACAATGTCTCATGGACCATGGAGCAACCACTGTGCTTCTGAAGCTACATCTTTTGGATGGAACATTTAGGCAGTACATACCGTGGCCATTTAAAGGAAGATAATGGAAAATGTCATTACCAGAGGGGAAAACAATCCAAATTTTTGGAATGTTAAAATAACAAGTAACTAATTTTAGTCTCAAAATTCTAGGCATCACTATCGCCTAAAACATCAGTCAATGTGACTAGTAAGTTAGAGGGACCAAGGTTTCAAAGATCAAGTTAATACTGAATCTTCATATATAAAGAGAAATCTGCAACCCCACAAAATGTTTTTAAGTTTGTACACATGCAACTTAATTTCTGATAAAAGAATGGGGAATGTTAAAAAGCAATGTATTCTTTTTAACATAAAGCATGCACTTTCTAATACATTCTTAAATATTTCAGAGTTGATTCTAGTCCAGTAGTATTCTTATTTCAAGTGCAGTCTAACCAGTACCCCCAACCAGATACAGAGTACATATCTGTTATTCAAAAAACGTGTATTAAGAATTCAATTAACTCATGGTACTGCTACCAAAGATATGAGACTTTAACTCTTGACCACATCATTTACTTTTTCAAAACTTTTAAACATGTTTGCACAAGCTAAATGGTATAAAGCAAATTTTAAACTGTCATCCAACTCCCAAATCTCACTGAAATAAGATGTAGGAAAAATATGTTGTGTGATTAGTCAACTTAGGCAATTTGCTACAAAATTTTCTAAGTGGGAACTAGCTTTAATCCAAAATCGAAAGTTCACAGAACTGTTTTTTAGAAACAAAAAGTTCTAAAACTTTAGAGTCCAAAACCAAAACAAATGAGGAGGTGTGTGTTGACAATTGAAACACTGTCTTAATATTTTATTAGAAGAAATATACTTCCAAAACTCTTGCCCCATCATAATCTTAACATAAACTTTAATTAAAAATATATATAAATCAGTAGAACACCATATTACAAACGCCCAGAAATGCAGAATAAAGATCAGAAACTGCTTGGAAGTATTTCTAACACTTTTTGGGATTATACTCATAATCAAAGATTATGAAGTAGTGCAATCATTACTGGGGCCAACATTTTAAAATTCGCCTATCGAAGCTAGCACCAGGAAAGTATTACACACATAAACTGAGAAACAGATAATCTTTACTTCAGAAAAGCAGTCCTGGAGTATTGCTTTCACTATTTACCTAGCATAATGGTCAGCCTGTCTCACTGAGGCATATATCTATCTTTGCGCCATTAACATCTGATCTGAAGTGCTTTCCAGTTATTTGGTATCTATTGAAAATTGTTACTGGAATGAAACAGTTTATCATGGAGTTAACCCATTTTTTCTTCCAAGATGCCAAATAAAATAATAAGGCTAGAACATTTTAAACTTAACTTTTAATAAAAATTAACAGATTCTAGTACTAAAAAAAAAAAAAAAATCTCTAGCCCCTGAAAGCCTAAGACTCCATTATTTAATTCCTCTCCTTTTTCCAAAACACAGGTTTTAAGGTCTCGAATTTTGTAAAATGGTTACCAAATTAACACTTTATTCACTGTAAAGCATTTGGAGATTTCCCAAGTGTAAGAAGAATTTCATTAGTAATTAATAGATGGATCAACAACGTGAAAGCCCCTGAAGCGAATATCATGATTTTATTTTGCCTTAGACCCAAGGAAAGGAGGGTCACGACTTAAAAGCAATTCTCCAGTTGGCACAAGCAGTTTACCATTTCTGATGAGCAGAAGATATTATGGAAGAACGTAATTTTTACAAGGTCAACACTTTTTCCAAACAGGTCTTCTAAATTCAACAGAGCTGAGAGTGCCAAAGTTGTAAATGTAACAAATCAAACTGCTTCATCTCAATTGGGGAAAAGAAGGCACAAAAGAAAAACAAGCAGCATAACTTTTATTTGGTGATACAATAGGTGAACAGTGTTCTAAAGTTCTGAACACTGAATTTTACTCATGATCATATCTTCTACCTAAGCAATTTATTCAGATGTGTGCTTTAAAAATACACATTAAGAACCCCGCAACTGGTATGTTCTGTTATTAGAAATAGTCTTCATGGTAATACATTATTTATCTTTCTATAATTAGAGAGAAAAATCATAAGACCATTTTTTATTTTTAGCCTGACAGAATAAATGTATTATATATATCTCTTCCAAAACCAGTGCACTCTGAAGTTTCTAATTTATGCACTCCATTGTTCAAATCAAAAACCTGTACATCTTTCAGCATCCACAGTATAACCCAGTCCTAGTAAAAATGCATATTCCTTTAAACCCTTTACTTTCCCTTGAATTTTATTTGGGTGGGGGGCGGGAAATGGAGAGGAGGAAAAGATATAGATATTGTGGTGCTGAACTATATTTATTTAGAACAAAACATTATATCCTACATTAAAAAAGATAATTTTATCAAAACCAAATTTCAATCACAGCTATGTATGACTTTCAGGTAAAGGTACATGTTGAAATTGCACTTTGCAGATATCTCATCAGTGTCCGTTCTACTGCTCCCCTTTCAGCACACGTTTTTATCAGCAGACATAGGTTCTTCCAGAGTTTTCTTTTGGCTTCCCTTCCGTGAATATTTGTATTTGTCTACATAGGCTTTAACCAGATTTGCCACTTTAGTAGAATTTACTTCTCCACTCTTACTATGACACACCTATAAAAAAGACAGAATTTTTTTTCATACTTAAAGGGATTAAAGGGAAAGTTCTTTGAAAAACAAATACCCCAGAGACATAATCAGACATTGTTACGTGTTTTGTATTGCCTATAAGGTATATATTTCATTTTCTCAAAAGGTAAAAAAGCTGATTAGTAGAAGCTACCTCTTACTATTTTAGTTAGATTTAATTAAGCATTTCTTTATTAAAATAGGACTGTTCAAAATAATATGTACGTAACTCCACTAAAGCTATAACTTACTTTATCTACTGCTTTCCGTACAATCTCTTTATATTCTTCCTTGGTGATGTCTTTATTTTGATAAAATGGCTTAATGGCCAATTTTACCTCCTGTGCTGCTTTTTCTTGAATTTGCAGTTTCTGATAAGAGGAAAATGTGTAATTATTATTTGCCAAATCACAAACTTTCAAAAAAATTATTTAAAAATATAAAATTGAAAACACTGCACAATTACAAGAAACTGTTCCAATATTAGCATCATAAATACAAAATAGTTATTTACTAACACAAATCAAACATTTCTAAAAATAAACAAGAAATACAGCCAATAATTCAATGGGCACCAACATATGTAGAGAATTCTTTAAATTGGAATTTAAGACTATCAAAAATAAATTCTCTTTGCCACTTATACAACAGAAAACTGTTATTTTTATCATAATCATATGCAGAATTATGTAGATTGCTCTCAACTTTGAACTTGCCTTGTCTGTCTTCGAGCTATCTGCGCTGGCTTCCACTGTAACACTTACTTTGCTTTCCGCCAATTTTACAGCAGCATTAGAAGCTTTGCTGTGACTTGATGACGCAGTATTACCAGAACTTGGTCCCTGAACTGTTCCCATATTTCCTGGGGCTGCTGTCGGAGCAGGCAAGACTGGTGTACTCATGTTACTACTTACATGAGAAGCACTAGGAATACCCTGTTTTAAAGAGGTATCATCAGTTAATCAATTATTTGTACTAAATAAAAGACATTTAGTTACCTATTAGACATTAAAAAAAGAAAAAAATCAAGGCAATTTAATGCTTAAGTACTTAGGAGAAATGTGTATTTCAGGTAATTTTTATCTAAAAGACTGAAGAAAAATGAGTAACATTCTTAAATAGAATCCCATCACGTCATGATGACTTTTAAAATATATATGTATTGTAATGTTCTGACAGTAACATTAAAACCAACAAAAAGGAGAAAAGCAGCATTAATGACAGTATCTTTCCTGTAAGTATCTTTAAGGTAGGTACCCCACTTTAAAGATAGAGGAAAATAAGACAGTGAAGTCAAATGGCTTGCTGTGAGTTGACAGCAGAAAAAGACATAAGATCCCAAATTCCCACTTTCCGGCTCTTCCAACTATATCCTGCTGCCAGGAATCTATTGAATTTCTGAGATATAGACATGAAACAATAAAGCAACACAACCATTACAAGTTGTTATTCAAATTTACTATATGCCCAAGAGGCACTTCTTTCTTTTTAGCACGACAAATTCCTGAAAATGAAACACATACGGTAATGCACAATGAACAACTTTATGTGGTGTCAGTCTGAGCAAGACAACACATGCTTTATCACAGTACCCAGTCACAGCAAGTTCCCACCCCCTCAAGTCCAATAAAATAGGGACACTTTTTCAAGTGTCCATCACATGACTCTAGTTTGCCTCATAATTTGGTTTTCTTAAACTAACCAAAATACTTGTTTGGATATCAGCACCAGCAAACATGTAGCTTAGATTTGATAACACGTATTCATTTTCTTATTTGGGACTGGGAGGTTTGGGAAAGGACAGTGAAAGAGGGGTTATAAAGATTTACCATAAGTCTAATCAAATAAGCCACTGTATATGGATAACCAGCAAGAAGCCCTTCCTTGAACATCCATCCCTAATAGCTAAAAGTTTACAATGGCGTACGTTAACTACACTTGAGTGGCTGAAAACATACCTGCAACTGCTTTCCATCCGGCTGTGAAGCAACGTAGCTGACTTGCTGGGATGGCGGGGGAGGGGGCGGTGGTGGCGGCAGTCCCTGAGATACTCCGCTAGGAGCCGCCACCTGCATGAGAGGTACTCCGGTGTGCAGGTGCAAGGGCAGCTGAGGATGAATGCTGAACGGACTGCGCTGCATGTTCATCAAAGGAGCAGGAACACCCACTGGATACGGAAACATGTTCACAGGCTGGTGTGCACTCATGTGCTGTTGCATTGCATTCATTTGTGGCTGCATCATATTTATAGGTAGCTGAGAACCATCACCTTGTTGGTTTGTTTGGTCTTTCAGGTTAGACTCTATCAAAAGAAAAAGACTTATGAAAAAAATCATGTTACAAATTTCCTTAGAGAAACAAAGAGCCACTGGTTACTGTAAAACTAAATACCAATTAACCTAACCTATCCAATTATTCAGTTTAATTCTGTCATTCCCAAATAATGTGGGATGACTTTCTAACTGAAATAAACATTCAACTAAAATTATTTTTAAGAATGACTTCACACCATAACATTGGGCAACACAAGCAAAGAATCAGCAGCTCAAGAAACTTACTATTTAAATCATCATAAAATTTAATTACTAACTTAGAAGGTTAATCACTTTTTAAAATCTTCAACAGCTCTTTTCTTACAAAAAGTCGAGTCAGTGTCCTTAAGAAAAGTCAAGGAAGGATAAATCTTTTTTAGCTGAGCGACTTACTAAACAACAATCAAAAAAATTCAAATGCACACATCCAATATAAATGAAATAGAATTTAAATCCTGCACAGAATTACTCCAAATCCTTCTACTGCAAATTATACATAAAACATTTAGGTCTTTGGCAAGGTTGGGGGCAGGCATGGAGTGAAAAAATATATACTGAAGTGTTTATTACATAATATAAAGTGAGGTTCAATTTAGCATAAAACTATAAACAGAGATCACTTCAATTCATACAAATAAGGTGTTAAATTTATAATCTCTTTCTTCAAATAAAAGTGCTGATAAATAAACATGTTACCCTGTTCAGCTGTTTCCTCGTCTTGCCTCATCCATCCAGACTGTGGGCCTGAAGAATTCCTCCCTCGTCTCGAGTAATAGTTCTGTACATCTGCTGGCAGAGTCTTTCTCACAGCCCAACTCGATGCAGATGTCCACCCCGACCTATCGGCTGGTGTATCAAAGGAGAACTCTTGCTCACTTTTCCGTTTATAGGGTTGCTGCTCCACAAATTTGAAAGTCTCATTCCCTGAACTATTTGAATTCCCTGAGAGGGGTTTTCGGTTTTGCCACCTGTTCTCATTTTGATCTGCATAGGCAAAACCACCTCTATGGTTGCCTCTACCACGGTTACCTCTACCACGGTTAGACATCCAAGCTGAACTAAAGTTTTTATTCCAAGAATTCCCTGAATTCTCATTTCTATTTTCTTCCCAATGAGAATCTTTTAACTTTTCTGGATTTCTGGTCCTCGGATCAGGCCCAGAATTTATTTTTTCTGTTACCCAAGTGGGACAGTCATTTCTATGTTTGTTGGCAGAATTTGAATCATCAGCATCTGGACTGATGTCGTCTTTCTCTTTTCTTGTGTTTTCATTCTGTTTCTCTGAGTCACTCTTTCTGTATCGATCATTCCCTCGTGGACATCTCCAACCATCGTTTGCCCATCTTTCTTTCCATCGAGGAGAGTAACTGTTCCTGTCATTTCTACCAAATGATGAACCCTTACATTTTGTTCTAGATCTTGATGGTGACCTTGACCGTGATCTGGATCGAGACCACCTTCTCATTCTCCTTTCTCTATCTCGGTCTCTTCTCGACCCATCTCTATCACTCTCTTTTTCTCTGCTCCGGGACCTGGATTTTTCTCTTGGGGAGGAATCTTTTACTCTGGACTGAGATCTTCTGTTCTCTCTTTTTGGGGAGAGCGACTCAGATCTTTTGCCTTCCTTAGCACTATCTCTTTTTGGAGACCGAGACTGAGATCTCCTCCTTTCTCTTGCACTATCCTTTTTGGGGGACTGAGAACGAGATTTTCTCCGTCCTCTAACAGATTCTTTCTTAGGAGATGGTGATCGAGACTTCCTGCTATCTTTTCCAGTTTCTCTTTTGGGAGACGGAGACTGAGACCGCTTCTTTTCCCAGGCAGTATCTTTGTTGGGAGACCAAGTTGTAGACGGAGAGTGAAATCTAGATCTTCGCGTACGAGGCTTTTTGGCTTTATCTGTCACATCTACTGGGTTTTCAGATGGTTGAGATACAGTTTCAACCTTTTCATTTGGAGGATCAGAAGATGACATATTCTTTTGGGAACTGTGCTCCACAGAATTTTCACTTACTTGTTTAGCATCAGCATTTACAGATGGATCGATTTCGGATTCATTTTGGTCACTGCAAAATGAATCACATTCCATAGATATCATTTCATTATTATCCTCACTAAAATGCTTCTGAATCAGTGCAACGTGTGTTTTAGGCAATTCTGTAGATCTGGGATGTTCAATCAAAGATTCAGTCTTTTCTTCTAAAGATTTGTCCAATTTGGTGTTAAGATTTTTTTTTAATAAACTATTTTCAGAGTCTTGAATACTATTGAGAGTTTCATTCCCTGAAGTATCACATGTTGCAATTATGTCTGCATCTTCATTTTCAACATGTCTAAGCAAATGAACCTCTAAACTCTCAATAGGTTTTCTGTCCACTGCTTGTATAACTCCACCCTCTGAAGATTCTAATTTGGGACTGTCAATAAGCTGTTCTGTTTTTACTGTAGAATCTCTATGATCAATAATATTTACTATAGGACTCTCCATAACTTTTTCTTCATTAACTATTGACTCCGCATTCTCAGGTAACTCACCTAAGCTTGATGCGGGTTGGTACACTTCAATTTCAGATCCTGAACATGTAAGAGAATCATTTGGAGCATGATCTATACATATATCTGCTTTTATTTCTGATTCTGAAGGTTCAGCTACTGGGTCTTGATTTCCCAATGAATCACTTCCTTTTTTGGAAGTACTTGCAGAAATCTCACCTTCCAGACATAAAACATTAACTTCTATACCTGTATTCTCAACTTCTTGAATTTCCTCCTCCCCTCCAAATAACACAGGAGGATCTTGGGCACCAGACTCGGAATGTAAAGTTTCTACTCTTTCCTCTGTATCATGGGTCTCAGCACCTTCTTCACTCTCTTTTAATGGCTCACTGCAACTTCTTAAGCCATTAGCAGACTCATCTTCTACATTAATCTGCACAGTGTTAATACTTTCTACATCTGATTGGTGTTCTTTCTCTAACTCAGGTGGTATGTCAGGTTCTGCTACTTCTTCATCAACTGAATCACTGGAAGATGATTTTTCAGGGGTAGGCACAGAGCTTCGAAGTTTCTTTTTCAATAAAGGTAGTTTTCTTCCTCTTCTTACAGACTTCCGTTTTGGAGCCTGCCTTGTTTGCTTCTCTGACTCACCTGAAGAGGAAACACTTACAGATGGATTATTGTTATCTGGGGCATCACACCCAGAAATATTTGATACTGGGGATCTCTGAGACTGACTGACTGGTTCAGCTCTTGTGTTACGTGTAGATCTTCTTGTAGGTGTTGCTGCTGCAGGTTTTCGTCTTGATCCTCTGGTGTTTGAGGTACCAGAAGTTTGCTTCTTCTCTTCCCCTTCTTGAGTATGTGCTAATGCATAGCCTTTGCAAGAAGTACCTAATAGTATACAAAAAGGAAAAAGTAAGTATATGTTTCATCAAGTGATAAGAATTGATAGAATAAGCTATCATTTTATTTTAAAATATGCATAAAATAGACATCTATAACAGTAAAACAAAATATACTTGTGAATTGAATTATTAATAAATGCATAGCTACTAACATCAGAGTAATACCAATTTTTGAAAGCTACTGAAATGAGTTATCCCAAGATTTGAATCCATGTGGGCAATTCTATAGTGAAAAAAACAAAAGAAAATTTTTGGTCTGTTAATTGCCATTTGCTTTATGAATCATAATACCTAGGCAAAAGCAGGACACAACAGCTATCCACAAATAGTAAAGACTCAAACTATTTGTTCACAATTCATAGGAGGTATTACTTCTAAAAATCAGTGGTTTGAACCCTGAACCTCTAAACAGAAAGGAAACTTCTAATCAGTTCCTCAAAGATACAAAGTTGTAATTTCTTAAAGTAAAAGGACTTTCTAGTTGCAACAATTTTAAAGTCAAGTCACTGTACAAATATTTATAGAAATATCTAGGACTCATTATCCATACCTTATTTTACAGCATTTCTAAGTCATCAAAACCTACACGTTTCATGAGACTGAAAGAGGCTTAGTAATTTTTTTTTAACTAGAAAGAAATTCAAAAACTTTACCAAAATTTTCTAAAGATATGGTACTTGTTGGAAGAATAGTTCTTGGCAACACAGAAGAGATGAGAGGAAGGACTTCTATTTCAATATTGCAGGGTATAAAACTAATTCTGAAAATTTAAAACAAAATAAAGACATTTTTGTTTAAATAATAAAACCAGCAATTTATAAGTATTAATTTTCCAAATAAGCTAGAAATATTAAACTATAGGTGCTTAAATTATTTTTGCCAAACAACTAAAAATGTAAATTCAAGGTTACTCATAGTAACCAAGATGGCTACCAACTGGTTACAAAAAATAAAAATATAAAAAACCTTCTAAAAGCATGCTTTTTCAATAAATTAATAGCAAAATGTTGTCAAGGGCAATTTAATATATAGTAGTTGATTCTCATTTAAATAAGTTAATGCAATTATTTTGTCAAGAATTTTAACTTTTTTTCACTACTTGAAAAATAACCAACTTGGACAATGAAATGTAGATAAATAAAATACACAAATGAAATGTACAGATTTTAAGTGCATAGTGTAATGACTTTTGGCCAGTTGTATAAATATACTTGTATAACCAATACCCCAAACAAGAAATAGAACATTTCCAGCATCCATATCATTCCCCATCCTATGTCCAGGCAACCAAAAAGATAATTGAACTGAGTTAATCGGCTCAGGTTTTAAAGAAATTAGCAAGGTCAAAGGGGAATCAGTCCATAAACAAAAATGTAAAAAAACTGAAAGGAAAGTTACATCACTTGAATTTTGAATTTTTTTGTTAGATTTATGTTTTTATGGCATATATCAAGGCCAAAAATATCAAAATACATTTTTAAAAAGGAAAAAAGAACCGCAACTGATTTCTATTGCTATGGTATATGCTAAAATTCCTCAATCTGAAGACAATGGTTCTTAAAAGTTCCCAGGATCCCTCTGGACCTGCAAGACCCCAGTTACTGCAGTCATACCAAACCCTCTCAGCTTCTTCCTACTCTGACTCATATCTGTTCAGTTAGGTCTCCTAACAAAAGACTATTTCATCCAGTCTAAGGTGAGATTCTGGAGGATGAAAGAAATTTGAAAAACAATGTGCATCTTGCACACAAAAAATATACAGCTCTAAGGGAAAATTTCATATTTTACATATCTGGACTTTGTCTAATTTTACTTATTTATATTCCACTGTTACTCCTAGAGAATGAAGGCCCTATGCAGAACTCCATTACAGTGACATATAAAAGTTATAGGAATGAATATAAAACTCTGGCAAGGAACTTAATCTTTACATAGGAGCTTGACTTAAGTACATATCATGTACCTAGCAAGCAATGTGCTAATATTTTCAGGGCTTACACTAAAAGAGAAAAGGCTAGGCTATATAGAGAGTCATGAATGCCAGGGCAAAGTAGGGACTTGATCAAGCAGTTGTTTAGAATAACAGTGGAGATGAAGTGTCATAACAAAAGCAATGCTTCAGCTAACAGCACACAGGGAAGACTGGAATGGAGGAAAAGATAACAGAATGCTATTACTAATAATGAACCTTATCGTTTAGGTGTTCTCCCTGTTAAAGAAATCAAATATTTACATTATTAAACAAACAAATACAATATTCTTTATTTTTCAAGGGGTTCCTTAAATAGAGACCTTTCATTAGGCATCTGAAACACCAAGATTTAATTAAACAAAACTTTCTTAGAAATATAACTGTTGATTATCTCTGTATATAATACTATCTTATGCACACATTAGCATTTAAACATTTTAGTAAACAATTTTTTTACCTTCCAATTCCAGGTAATGTATCAGGAAACCATGACAATTCCAGTTCCTGTCTCTTCTGCCTAATCAAAGCACTGACTTCATTGACTTCTATAAATTCTGTACTAAAAGATAAATTTTAGATCCTCATCAGAATTCCAAAATTTTAAGTACAGAATAACAAGTGGGTTATATCATGAATAACAGAAATTTTAATACCCAGCATTATAAGTCACATTAAAAAAAAAGAAACTTTTTCTATATAAACACTTTTCAAAATGGACCCATTCCTAAAGTAACTTAAATTTTTATATTACAAATAAAAATGGAACTAATCTGACTTGTGACCACTTTTATAAAGTCAATTCAGACTAATATTATTAGTATTGAAAAAAAGAAGTAACACTATTTCTTTCCCATGAACCAAAGCTGCAAAGAGCAGTTCAAGCCGAAAATTCTAGGTGCAATAGTTTGCCATCTGAAACTACACATAAGACAAAGGAACAAAATAAAGGAGGCATGGTTATTTTTAAAACCCAAAATAGGCAGAGTTCAGTTTTTTAAAAGGCTACTCAACTGTAATTGTTTTCTTTGGTACCTTGCCAATCTTTAAAGTTAAATCACAATCTTAATCTGTCTTGTTTATTCAACCAGCTCCATTATTTTTAAACCTCAACTTAATCTTCAAATTCCACAAATATCTACACAGCATCATACAGTCACAATGGATTAAAAAATGACTGGGTCTACTCTTAAAGGGTACCCCCATAATTTAACAACTTAACAACTAGCCTACGTCTCTGTCATATACAAACCTTGTGTACAACTTAATTTATTATTAAGGAAAAGGAAGCCCACTAACAGTCACTGAATAATAGACGGTCACAAAATAAGGCTCTATTTATTTGCCAAAAGAAACAAAAACAACATGGGCTTTCATAATGTTGTTGAGCCAAGTTTAAATTTCTACCAAAAGTTAACTGCAATAAATAAAACATCAAATATAAAAACAGCATAAATTAAAAGTAAAAAATACTAACCAGTAAGCCGTATAGGCAAAAGAAGATTCTCCAGTGTAACTAGAAGAAAAGACATTGGAGAAAAAATTCCTGAAGCACTGATTTGTACATGGATTTGATCCTCGAGGCTAGAAAAGTAAAATGAGGTTGGTGAAACAGCAAATAAAATCACTTCCATAATAGGTAGGACATAGCTACATTTAAGTATTTTGATGTACCCGAGGGACCAGAGCTGTGTACCAAACAATCATAAATTGTTATTATCTAAGAAAAATATTTTTTCTTTATTTCAACAAACCTTGTTTGTCTTTATTATTGAATTTTTCTTTCCTCCCATTTCATTGTATTTAGAGTTTCCTGTACAAAGACACAAAAAGATTTTGCCTTAATTTTTATTTTAAAAGGTTTTAAACCAGTACTGATACTGGCATATTGACAAGAGAAGGTTAAAATATGTATAAAAACTGAATTTAAAATAATAGTGCTTGCATTTATATAATTTTTCCAAATGCTAGTTTTATCTTGTTAAGCCACAGACAAAAGGAAAATATAAGAGGCCACAATACAGAAAACTAGAGAAGCATGTAAAATTGCTATGCTTAGGGCACTAAGTACCAAAATTTTAGTCAATATGTTCCGGCACTTATGTGCAAACTTAAACTGTCTTGAAATATTAAACATATAAAAGAAATAAAATTATTTAGTATCAGTAATACACTTAATATGTCCTTTCCAGTTACGACCTAAACAACAGGTACTATTAACTCACCTCAAGTAGGAGCTGACCAGGGGAACTGAAACCATCAAGCCCTTGTCAACCATAAAGTACCATTTAATCACCAACTTCAATATATGTACCCTCACCATCCTCCTCCAATTGTATGGAATTAGGAAAAGTAGAAGTCTTGATTAAAACAGCTTTCTGCTATAGCAGTTTTTGATTGTATTACTGACAACTTACTTTTTGGTTTTACAAGTCCATTTCTATGGATACATTCTTCCAGGTTAAGAAAGATAAAGTACAAATAGCTCCTGCTAACCACAAAAACTGTCAAAGATTACTGCTCTTGGTTTTTCTTTGCCATCAAGTTTGTCTTATTAGTCATCTCCACCTATGAACACACTTGTCTGCAATAAACTGATGCTCGTACTGCCATTGCTCTCTCCTCAGAACTCTGGGTAAAGTCTACAGAACAAACGACAACTGGTCTTTCAATCTCCAGCCAAGCTTGTCTCACAAAGGCCAATCTAACTTTGTTCAAAATAAATCAGCCTAACTGGAAGGCCAAGTTCCTGCTACTGCAAGATCATAAGTATTTTGGGTTTCTTTCATCAGTCCTGTGGGTAATAGCCTACTTTCTACTTAACAGCATACTAACTTTCTGTTACGTTACTATACAACAGCTGTTTGGTTTCACGCTATTACTCACCTATCACACATGTCCCACCCAGAACAGCTGTAACAAATGATATTTCATATTGGGGAGAGGATATTTTCATATTACCAACATTCGCTGGATCATCGAAAAAGCAAGAGAGTTCCAGAAAAACATCATTTCTGCCTTACTGACTATGCCAAAGTCTTTGACTGTGTGGATCACAATAAACTGTGGAAAATTCTGAGAGATAGAAGTACCAGACCACCTGACCTGCCTCTTGAGAAATCTGTATGCAGGTCAGGAAGCAACAGTTATAACTGAACATGGAACAACAACAGACTGGTTCCAAATAGAAAAAGGAGTACGTCAAGGTTGTATATTGTCACCCTGCTTATTTAACTTACATGCAGAGTACATCATGAGAAACGCTGAACTGGATGAAGCACAGGCTGGAATCAAGATTGCTGGGAGAAATATCAATAACCTCAGATATGTAGATGACACCACCCTTAACGGCAGAAAGTGAAGAAGAACTAAAGACTCTCTTGATGAAAGTGAAACAGAGTGAAAAAGTTGGCTTAAAGCGCAACATTCAGAAAACTAAGATCATGGCATCCGGTCCCATCACTTCACGGCAAATAGACGAAGAAACAGTGACAGACTTTATTTTCTTGGGGTCCAAAATTACTGCAGATGGCAACTGCAGTCATGAAATTAAAAGCTGCTTACTCCTTGGATAAAAAGTCATGACCAACCTAGACAGCATATTAAAAAGCAGAGACATTACTTGTCAACAAAGGTCTGTCTAGTCAAGGCTATAGTTTTTCCAGTAGTCATGTATGGATGTGAGAGTTTGACTATAAAGAAAGCTGAGTGCAGAAGAATTGATGCTTTTGAATTGTGGTGTTGGAGAAGACTCTTGAGAGTCCCTTGGACTGCAAGGAGATCCAACCAGTCCATCCTAAAGGAGACCAGTCCTGAGAATTCATTGGAAGGACTGATGTTGAAGCTGAAGCTCCAATACTCTGGCCACCTGATGCGAAGAACTGACTCACTGGAAAAGACCCTGATGCTGGAAAAGATTGAAGGCAGGAGGAGAGGGGGCCGAAAGAGGATGAGATGGTTGGATGGCATCTCCGACTCAATGGGCATGAGTCTGGGTAAACTCCAGGAGTTGGTGATGGTCAGGGAGGCCTGGCGTGCTATGGTTCATGGGGTCACAGAGTTGGACACGACTGAGCAACTGAACTGACTGGGGAGAAGAGTGCAGATGGAGTTCCAAGAACTTATCTTCTTACCTCTCATTATACATTTAAAAGATGATACTTATTTTAAGTGATTAAAGAAGCCAGGAATATAAGTTTGTGATAGGTACCCAGCCACAATCAGAAATAATAATTTTCTTCAACTAGACGGAGAATTGCTACATTGTAGGTACACTGTAGTTTTTAAGCCCTAAGGGTGCTGAGTTGTTCTCAATCAGGTTTTTTCACTCAATACTGAAGGAGTACATACAGTTTACACAGCATTCCTTCTTCACTTGGAAGTCTCTGTCGGGAAGCCACCACTAGATGAAATGCTCTCTATGGGAAGAACTGTTAGTTTTCTGGCCAATGCTAAGTATGAAAATCTAGTCCCAAAGCTATTTCACATATTTCTGGGTAATTCTCAGGTAATTATCAAGCAATTCCAATTGTGGATTTGTCTAAATTGTGGTTTCCTAGAGGTCATTTCACACATTCACTTACTAATCTATCCTTTGGACAACAGTGATACATTGTTTCTTTTTTATCAAAGTTAATGCATATTCATACTTTAAGAAGTCCAACAGCACTTCTGGACTTATTTTTAAAAAATTACAGCAATTCTCACTCTTAATTCAGCTCCATCAAAGAACTCATCACATGTTCATACTACTCTGGGCTTCCCTGGTGGCTCAGAGAGTAAACAGGGAGACCAGGGTTCAATCCCTGGGTCGAGAAGATCCCCGGGAAAAGGGAATGGCTACTCACTCCAGTATTCCTGCCAGGTGAGCTCCAGGACAGAAGAGCTGAAGTCCACAGGGCCACAAGAGCTGGATACAACTGAGCAAGATATATACTGCTCTACCGTGTTATTTTTGGTTATTTTTAAATTTTTTTTCCTCCAGAAGATAGACTTCTCCTCCACAAATGTTTTTAAGCTGTACTGTGCAACTTGAGGAAATGACCCCACCAGGGGAAGCACAGAATCTTAACCACTGGATCACCATGGAAGGCTCCAAATGTTCTTTTTGATGTATCAACACGATGTAAACAATGCTGCATTATCATAACTATATAAACATTCTCAGCTAGGCCATATACTGAATTACAATTACTTTTTTGTACAACTTCTTCCTTTTCCTATGGTTGATGATAGCTTTTTCTTGTTTTTATGTTGTATTATCTGTCATTAATTGAACTAACTGCAACAAATGTAAAGATCTCTTAATACATTCAAATACATCAATTCATCCATCAGGTTTGCTCCTCACTCTCTTGGAAACACCCTTCCTCTGCCCTGCTCCAATTTGAACTGGTAACTCTCTAAAAGCTGCGGCTCAACTGTCATTCTGTGACTGTCCTCTATTATCTTCACAATACCCCCTTTCCCTGGGTCAGAACTAATTTGCTTATTGTTTTTTTTCTCCTTTTCTGTTTCTTTTAGGAACTCGTTTTTCTGAATCTCACATTGTCTCTTTGTTTACTTTCTCATTAAGTGACACAGACATATCTTCCAGTGTAATTATGAGAAAGGATGTTTGAGAATGAATTTTTAAGCTCTTAATGTCTTTAAAAACGTCTTTATTTTGCCCTAACACTAGACTGACAGTTTGGTTGCATCTCAGATTTCTAGGTTAATAATTATTTTCCCCAGAATTTTCAAGGTAGTGCTCCACTGCTTCATCTGTTATTGGCAACATTCTTTTACACATGGTCTATTTTCTCTCTCTAGAAGCTCTTCAAATATATGCAGAGTCTAGGATTCTATCAGTGTAGCTCATTCCTTGTTTACAACTCATTTTCCAATTACATTCAACTTTTTTAAACTTCAGCTATAATATTCTTAATTTCCAAAATTTTTCTTTTTTTAGTCTTTTCTTACCTCATTAATGAAATATTCCTTCTCTTACCTCTGAGGATATTAGTTTTCAAGTAACTCCCTGTTTCAGCACTCGGTTTGTTCTGTCAGGTTCCTTTTCTTTGCCTATGTATTTATCTCTATTACCTGGAGGCTCCCTCACTCTCTGGTGGTCCTTGACTGTTTGTGGAGCACTAAGATACTGACTGAGAACAATGTGGATGTGTGGTCAGTGCCTTTCAATGGGTTTCACTGTAGGGTGATAAAGCAGAGAGACCTGGCTATTTCATTCAAAAATTTCCAAATGGCAGTATCTCCAAGTCTTCTAAACCAGCGACAGTATTCTGGAAGATACCAATACCTTCTATCTTCCATTTTGGGAACAAGCAAGACTGCAAGAGCTTTGCGAAATGATCATGGGCAGGAAGGTAGAGACCTCAACATTTGCTTTAATTTCCTTCTTTTTACTGTTGTTTCCTCTACCCTCATTCGCACTAGAGTTTAAGTTGATTTAATCACTCATTTAGAAAGTAAGCCTCCTGTTTGCCTGAGTAGACTCCCCTTACCCTAATTCAGCCAAAATTCTGCAGGATAAACTGCTCCTTTAAAAATTTTAACCAATTCTGTTTTCAGCACCACCCCATACACCTGCTTTCAGATATAACGTAGGTCCCAGACCAAAGACTAAGGTTCTACAGTGTGTGAACTGGTCTGATTCTCAATGTCACTCTCCATGAGAGGTTTGGGTTTCAGCTTTCTACTAAGACAGTTTACTATTAATATGCACCTCAAACAACCATTTTCAAGCTTCTATTTTATGGACATCCTTCATCAGCTGTACTTCTCTCCAGTTCTGTTTTGTGGCTTAAATTTTTATTTTGATTTCTTTATGGTCTTTTCTGTAGGGTTCTGAGAGGGATCAGAGAATTAAAGAAGTGCTCAATCTGTTATGCTTACCTGGAAACTTTTTTTTTTTTAATTTAGTATATCTGAAAAGATGTTTCAATGACAACATCTTTTCCTGCAAAACAAACCAGTATAATAAAGGCTCTGATCTTAAGAGCACAGTAGTACTTGGCAGGTACCCAATTAAAATTTGATTAATTGATTCCAAATTAACAGAGCCATAATTACACGGATTTAGTATGTACCTAGGGAAATAGTCCATTAAGAAATGTCCTAAAAGGGGTACTTTTTATAAACTATATCAGTTATAAACTATTAGCCCAAACCAAAGACTATTATGTTCATTCCAAGAACAAAGTATATAAAGGAGGTTAAAATAAAAAAGAAGTATGGAAACTCAGTTATCTATTATCTAGTATGACTAAAGAATGAGAGTGATATGTTCTTATCAGATTTGTCAAAAGGTATGCTGTCTAGTGGTTTACAATACTTACAGTGAGACAACACCATGTTCACTAAATGAAGAAAGTAAAGTTTATACAATTTTATCAGAGTCACAGATGATTTAATAGAAAAACTAATACAAAACCCAAATGGCTCAACTTCCAATAAAATTATCTATCAGGTCTGCTGGAGTTTTAACTAATGTTATACTAATAATTTCTAATCCAAATAAAAGAACTTCACAATTTCATATACTCTATTCATTAGTTTTAGTATGTATAATATAAAGATAATAACCTAAAGGAGAAAGTCACACATGAATGTTCAAAGCACAGCCCCTGCTCACTTTTAAAAACTTGAAAAAATTAAGACACTAAACCTCACTGCTTCTGAAATCTACCATAAAAAGATAATATTTCCTCAAGAAGTTCTTTCATAAAAATAAATTTAAATTATCCTTTGGGCAACCATGGTTCCTGCTCAGTCTACCTGAATAAATACATTAAAATGTACTTAATTTGCACAACTTTCCACTAACTCTACCTTCACCATACCTTTCATCTTAGTTCTTTTCTCAGTTCAAATGCCTACATTTAAGAGTCCAAGGTTGACATAATAAAAGCTATATATGATAAACCCACAGTAAACATTATCCTCAATGGTGAAAAAGTGAAAGCATTTCCCTTAAAGTCAGGAACAAGACAAGGATGTCCATTCTCACCACTACTATTCAACATAGTTTTGGCAGTGTTGGCCACAGCAATCAGAGCAGAAGAAATAAAAGGAATCCAGATAGGAAAAGAAGAAGTAAAACTCTCACTGTTTGCAGACGACATGATCCTCTACATAGAAAACCCTAAAGACTCTACCAGAAAATTACTACAGCTAATCAATGAATACAGTAATGTTGCAGGATATAAAATTAACACACAGCAATCCACTGCATTCCTATATACTAACAATGAGAAAACAGAAAGAGAAATTAAGGAAACAATACCATTCACCACTGCAACAAAAAATATAAAATACTTAGGAGTATATCTACCTAAAGAAACGAAAAGACCTATATATATATATAAAACTATAAAACACTGATGAAAGAAATCAAAGAGGACACAAATAGATGGAGAAATATACCATGTTCATGGATTGGAAGAATCAATATTGTCAAAATGGCTATACTACCCAAAGTAATCTATAGATTCAATGCAATCCCTATCAAACTACCAACAGTATTTTTCACAGAACTAGAACAAATAATTTCACAATTTGTATGGAAATACAAAAAACC